AAAAAAACAATGACAACGACAACGACAACAACAACTAGAAACAGTAAAGAGTAATGCTACATAACCAATCTAGTGTATAACTAGGTTGACAACACAAGTGTAAACACTCATAAAACTAAAAATAAAAAAATACACAATTTGAATTCAAACATCATCTCCATAGTTTCTATTTTGTTCTTTTCCTCCGACAAAGTGGCACTCCATCGGTACAACCAACTCCAGCCAGTCTGGATATTGGAAGTTACCAATTGGATAGATGTTGAAGAATTTATAATGTGGGTAGAACACGAATCATTGCAGAATTGTTTCACAAAAAGGACCAATATTGGGTTAAATTAATTTTAACAAGAATTTGACATTTAATTCACGAGAACACTTTAAAAGGTCGATTTATATTTAACAAGTTCTTTACAAGCCAAATAATGATGAACTCCCAAAAAGGTGACAGCCATCTTTTATGTTGTTCGGGACCTCCATATCTTTTTCTTTTCCTTTTTTGCCCAACAAACACGTGTACACTAAAAACTTCGAATCCACATAATACACATATCGAACTTAAAGATAACATTAACTGTCATTATTAAAAGTAGAATGATAACACGTGTTCCATAGAAACTTAGCATTTGCATAATCAAATAGACCTTAGGAGATAACATTAACAGCGTTATTCTATTATATTCATCATTTCGCACAATGGATCTTTCTTCAATTTTCTACAAAAGCATCGAAACATGTAATGCGTGCTCCAGTACACATCGATTGTGACAATGAGCAAGAAATTATGCAATCCACTTGCAGCCAAAAATATGTATAACGACAATCACAAAGTACCACAGCCATGTTCCGGAACTGACAAGCAAAATCAAACAAAACAAACGGTACTTCACATGCACAGCATAATGAAAACAACTGCAAACACATCCATAGTGATAACTCTTGAGCATAAATTCAAAAATTAATCACTAAATCCCAATGCATAACCAAAAAGAGCATTATCAGAAGTCAGAACTCAACTCATAAAGAATAACCAACAGAACTGCCAGACATGAGAAATTCAATTACACACCAGATAATTAAAGCAAGCAATGGACATGCATGCATCACAACAGACTCATCCTAAGAACAATGAACAAGAAGCGCGCGCACATCAAATCAAACAAAAAAGAACTTACACAGCTGGTGCCATAGTTCCAGCAGGAACTCTCCTAACAATGACGCTGGATCCGCTTGGAATACTGCAATCATCACCCTTAAACTCTGCCAAATCCACCCAAACAACAGCAGGAAAAAAAATAAATAAATAAAAAATTAAAACCAACTCAATTGATCCCAAAATGTTAAATCAAAATAGAGAATTACATACGTACCTAAACCAGAATCAGCGTCAGAGAATACGAGATCAAATGGTTGGTGTTGCTGCTGAGCCGTTTTTCCCTTCAGAATCATCGCCCGCAGCTCCCCGATGCCAATCGACGCGCGCTCTCCAATCTCCAACGCATCATAATTCACCGAGCTCCTGAATTTGAATCGAATCGACATGGCTCAACTTTTTGTTCCTCCTCTGTGTGTGTGTGTGTGTTTGTGTGTGTGTGTGTGTATTCCTAACTGTCACCGCTGTATGTCAGTATGTGTGTGTTGACATAGAGCGAGAAAGAGGGTTTTCGCCTTTCGGATTTTGCGCTGCTGATGTAGGAAACGGATTAAGTGGGGACGAGGGAGAAGGTCACGTGACGTGGGCGTGCGTGATATGTGTAATGACGATTGTCTACGGTGAGGTAGGGCTGCAAACGAGTCGAGCAGCTCGCGAGCCGCTCGCGAGCGCTCGAGTCAAAGCTCGACTCGAGCTCGAGTTTGACCGATCTCGAGTCGAGCTCGAGCGGCTCGAGCACGAACTCGAGTCGAGCTCGAGCCCATATAGTGCATTGTCGAGCGGCTCGCGAGCGGATCGAGATATGTGAAATTACTAAAATACCCTTGTATATATATGTAATTAATGGTTATTTTACAAAATTTCTTGAAAAAAATCGAGCCGAGCTCAAGCATTATGAATTCGAGTTGAGCTCGAGTCGAGCTCGAGCTCTTGTATGTTTTGATCGAGTCGAGCTCGAGCTCGAGCACCTCAAAAAAAAAATTCAATCCGCTCGATAAGGCCAATGCTCGACTCGGCTCGGCTCGTTTGCAGCCCTACGGTGAGGAGATGTGAATTGGATGCACCTGCATTCTTCGCTTGGGTTTGTATGCTGGAGTTTGAATGACCAGGGTACAAGCTAATTATGCCCTTTTGTTGTATAACAGAAAGAATTGCGTCCGATTTCCAAAATTGGTCGTGGCAATACAATGGGGTTTTTTTTATAAAAGTTTGTAGATATATGGGTTTTTTTGATATTTTTATAAAATGGATTTCAGTTTGCATTAGTTCATCCTCTTTTCATTCAATTTTGGTGGGCAGATTTTGGGGCAGGTGATTCTATCTAGAGGGCTTAGGTAAGGTTGTTCTTTATCTCCATATCTTTTCATTATTGCATCTGAGACCTTATCTAATTTAATTTCTCGAGCCTGTGCTTCTAAGTCTCTTAGTGGTCTTAAAATTAGTAGGAACTCCCCTTCAATATCTTATTTATTTTTTGCTGATGATACACTACTATTTTGTAAAGTTGATTTAACCCAAGTCCATCTAATTTTTAATATTCTTAATAGCTATTGTTCAGCCTCAGGGCAAGCTATCAATCTTCATAAGTCCAGTATTTTATTTTCTAAAAACACTGCTGATCCATTAAGGAAGGATATATATGTTGTATTCCCTGGTATTGCTTTGGCAAAATTTTCCAGATATCTGGGGCTTCCTTTGGGAATTGGAAAATCAAAAGAAGATACTTTTTCTTTTACATTTGTAAAAGATTGTGTTATGTCTAAAATGTCTAATTAGAAAAATACATATCTTAGTGAGGCAGGTAGAGAGGTGTTAATAAAAACAGTTCTTGCAGCCATGCCAACTTATGTTATGTCTGTATATAAACTTCCAGTTGGCTTGTGTGCTGATATTTGCAAATGTGTAGCTAACTTCTGGTGGGGAAGGAATGAGGAACGAGGAAACAGGATTCACTTGCTAAAATGGAGTAAGATGGCCATTTCCAAATCAAAGGGAGGACTAGGGTTCAAAAGCTTTGAGGATTTCAACTCAGCACTCATACTCAAGCAAATTTGGAGGGTGCTCACACAGCCAAACCTGCTGATGAGCAGAGTGCTCAAAGGTAGGTATTTTTTTCATCAATCAATCATGAAGGTGAAAAAGAAAGATACTGATTCATGGATGTGGAAAGGATGGTTGGAGACTAGAAAATATTTGGAGCTGGGAGCTAGGTTTGTGGTAGGAATGGGATGGCTATAGATATCTGGGAATCCCCCTGGATACCTAATGTTCCTAACTTTAAAATTAATGAAGGGGTTTCTGTGGATAAAACTAGATTGAGGAAAGTGGCAGATTTGATGATTGCAGGGAAGAGGGAATGGGATAGGGAGTTAGTTTCTCCAGACTTTTTCACCGACTGTGGCTGAGAACATAATGAAAATCTACATTAGCAAAATGAATGCTAAAGATAGATTAATTTGGCAGCCACATGGGAAAGGGATGTTTACAGTGAAGTCTGCATATCAAGTTATTCAAGCTCAGAGAAGATGTCTGGAGGGTCAAGAGGGTAGCAGTAAGGGGTGGCAAAGTAAAAGAAGGATGTGGAAGGTAACATGGAGTCTACCAATTAAAAATAAAATAACGAACTTTGTATGGAGATGCTACCATAACTGTCTGGGGACTAAGGTAAATTTAAGTAATAGAGGGGGTTGGGTAGATACTATATGTGAGGGATGTGGGGAGAGTGCTGAGACATTGGAGCATATTATGTTTCATTATGAGAGAGCAAAAAAAGTGTGGAAGATAGCAGGGCTAGAGTGGAGCAGTCTACAGAGGGAGGAGGTGAAATTTAGTAACTGGTGGGCAGAGTTGTGTGAGGTGAAGGCTGAAAGTTGTGGTAGAGATAGGGTTTCGTTGTACACATACATCCTATGGTGGCTGTAGAAAACCAGAAATAGGTGGGTTTTTAAAAGGGAATGGGTTTTAGAGGGACAACTAGTGGAATATGCTTATAAGGAATGGAGTGAATATGATCTCATTGTTTCAGAAGGGTCCAACCTAGGATCAAGATGCAATTTTGGCAACATGGCTGATACTGAAGACTTTCAATGAGTAGGAGAACAATCAAATGTTTTCAATGCTAATGGATCTTCAGAATCATGCCCTCATGTTACAGGGATGGCTTACTCAAACAACCTTGAGGTTCATAGATGGGAGACCATAAGAAAAGGCAGAGGGAGAAGTGAAGTTGATATTCTCATGAAGCTAAGGGATTGGCTCTTGGAAGGAAGAACTGTAGGATGGCAGGAGGTAAAGCTGCACATAACTGACTAGCAATTGAAGAAGACACTGATGGGGCAAGCTCTGGCTAATGTAGATGTACTTGTTCTTGTGGAGGACATCCAAAGTCTGTTACAGGTTGTGGGGGTTTGGTCATTTGACTAGCATTTGTTTTTTAGAGCATGATGTTTTTTTCATCTTTCTTTTATTATGGTTGTTGTATCTTGTTTTATTTTTAGTGTAGTGGTGGCCTCAATAGGTCTTGGTAGTGGATTTCTTGGGAGTGTCTGTTTTGGTCCCGGGAAATCTGTGTTGTAACCCGTTGGTTATACGGATGTACATTGTTTGAGTTATCTAATATAATTTGATGCTTGACAAAAAAAAAATCTTGGGAATTGGGTATTGATTATTTTATAAATGTTTGTCAATAGAAAGGGTAAATTAAAAATTAAAAAAAAAATATTATTTTCTTGTCAACGACACAAATAACTCATTCATAAACCATAAAAATAGGAATAGTACATGGGACAACCCCAGCCTGGATAACAGAGAGGACATGCAACACTTGCAGTCTAGCCGAGCCAAACTAAACACACACAAGAAACCTAAACACCCAAACAAACCGAAAGCAACAACAAGGGAGAACAAAACTAACAAGAAAATCAGCCTCCAGATTACAGTAACCAATCTACCAGACTAACAACAACAAAACAAAAACAATATACAGGCTCCAACACTCATAAGACGGAAAACAACTCCCAGCAAACAAAGAAGAACTGAAAAAGAACCACTGTCAATCAAGCCTAGCTCATCCTCAACCATTCCTTAGTGAGAACTGGATTTAGACTTTTCAAAATTTGTCCAATCCCTCATGGCAAACTTTATAATCCACAGCTCAGGTTGCCTTTGACTTTCAAAAACCCAAATGTTCCTAGCTTTCCAAAGCCACCATAGTATATAAGTGGATAACTGGATTCTGTCTTCTGATATGGCTTTGAAACTCATAGAGTTGATCCACCACCACCACTGCTTAAATCTCAACTGCTCTTGGTGAACTCTATTCCATTGCACAGGTGCAATTTGCCACACTTTAACTGCTCTGTCACATTGAAACAAAACATGAACTTGGGTTTCAGCAGCTTCTCCACACACTTTACATAGAACATCAATATCAAGACCCCTAGCATGCAGATTCACACTAACTGGCAAGATGTTTGAAAAACATTGCCAAATAAAGTGTTTAACCTTTCCCAACACCTTCATATTTCAGCATCTCAGTCTAGCTTTTCTATTTCCCTCAGCCATCATACTACTCTCAGCCACAGCAGAACAACCCACTTTCCCAGCAGAAAGAAATTTATAGGCACTCTTGACAGAGAATTTCCTCTTATCCACAAAAGAGCATTTCCACTGATCAGCCAAACTAGGTCAAACGAATAAATATTTTTTGACTGAAACTAACTCATTTTGATATATATTCACATGTACTTTCCTACCAAGACTTTTTTTTTAAAAAAATATTTCTCCACAACCAAATATAAAAAAATAAATTGTAGTAAATGTATAAAATAATTTATGTAATATATCAACTTTCAAAAGCCCTAGATTTAAGTTATCATTCACATATTAAAATGTATGATACTAATCTTTTAGATAATTAATATTAATTAATTAACTACAAAAATCCTTAAAAATACAAATAAGTTTTTACGTTTTTCTTTTAAACCTAATAAAAAGAAAGGGTAGATCCACTTCACCAAAATTAATAATAACAAAATTTGTTATTTCCGTTTATCTTTCTATTTTATTTTCCCATTATTTCTCTATTTTCCTTGGCAAGATAATGTTTCTTAATTTCTATTATTTTTTAGTTAATGATGTATTAAGCTATTTCTTAGTCTTAAGGACACATAAGTAATGGATTTTTTTATTTTTTATTTTTCAGTTGCCCACACTGGTCAATGAATAGATACGCCCCTGGGCCAGCGCAAGTAGCCGGCGTCCGCCGCACCTTCCGCATTCATATAGATAGGATTCTATATGTCAATATGTAATATCCCGTCAGTTTATCAGTATAAATCATGTTTTTAGTTCCGATATATTAATACTGTCGAGTATTAAATTTCGGAAT